CGGTAGAGGGAATTTAAACCGCCAAAAGTTGCCTGCCGGTGAAGACGATATGTAATCGACTAGATCCGGTATGAAGGAGTCAAGAAACATCAAATCTCACCCAGATTTCGATGTTGGTTCGAGTGGAGAAAGCTTGGAAGAAGCTGCCTTTACCATAACACCAACCACAAAAGCGATTATGGATGGCGGTGGGTTGATTGGTTGGAAGGCTAAGAAAATCACCATTGAATCTCTGAAGAAGAAACTTGCAACAACCCCATAGACTAAAAACGAAACACAACAAAAGCAAATAAAACTAAAGGGAGAATCAACGTTGGTGCTAAAGGAGCCACCGAACGTTAATCTCCGGCCAAAAAGCAACGATGTCTTGAGCTACTTCTTGAGGAGAGAGAAGGGAGAATACTTCGGAGGGAGGAAAGAGAAGTTTTTAAATCGTTTCTGATGAATAAGAAAACCTAAATATATCATTAGATGTAAAATCATAAATGTTGAACACACACACACACACACACTCACTCAATATTTACACATCTCTTTATCCCTCCCCAAATTTATACACAAGAAGTTACATGTCTGTTTCTGTATTAAAACCAGGAAGGGACTCAAACTCCTGCATAAGTTGTCAACCTAATACTATTTCCATCAAAATACAAACCTAAATCTCCTTCACTACCTAATTGCCTGATTCCAGCTTTTTTCTTGTTACCTAGCAGAGGAACAAAGTTTCCTCTTCTCTCTTCTAATCTAAAAGACTAAATCCAAAGTTAGGGGTGATTCTCTAAAGTTGGGTAAAATCCCCGAACTAGGAGCCGCAACATGTAGTTTCCGGTTCCCAGGACTGCGAAATGCAACTCAAGGAGGTCGAACGAGAGTAGACAACAACATCCTTTTGTGTTTCAGTTCTCATTGTACACACATTTCTTAAGTTTTTCGTTCTCTGCTTCCTTCTGTGCTCTCTTCTTCTCAAACTCGACTTGCTTGCAGTTTTCCTCGTGTGACCGCACAAATATTCTAACAAAGTTTTGTAGAGTGGATACAACTGCAGATTCAAATCAAATGCAAGGATTTGGTTTATCTTAGGTCAGGGACAAAAAGGACTAACTTCCAAAAACCAAATGGAGATGATGTATTAAAACTAAGATGTAAGAAGAGAAAAAACCATATTAGTGAGTCTACATCAAATTGTTACCTTGCTCAAATGGGACACGAGCTGGATCTTCTCCAAAGTATAATGCCAAAGCATCGGCGCTTCCACCCTAATAATACCATGAGAAACAGTTCAACAGAGGTGGCACCAAAGAATCCTTACCACAGTAACGTAAAGTGCTTCAGAAAAGTAATAAATACAGGGAGAAGGTAGGGAGCCAAAGAATCCTTACAACAGTTGAATAGAGGGAAGCCAAGGACTTTACTTCTCCTTCAGCAAAGCTAAGAAACTCTTTCAAGTTCTGCATAAACAATTAGAAGTGTAAGCATACGATAAACACAAGCAATCATAACTTAACAAGCTTTTGAATATCTGATTTAGTTTACCATACGAAAGTGTTTTGATATTTGACCATCAGTTTCAGATGTAGTAAACTCTTGTGCAACTTTCTCCAAGCCTTTGCTAATTGCTTGCATCTCCTCTGCCAGGTATTTTAGTTGAATCTATCATCAAGGAATGTTGTCAGAGAGATTAACACCCAGGGCTCAAAGTGAATTTCTTAAACGACGAGGTAAAAAAAAAATAGTACCTTTGTTGCAGCCTCCAAGCTGACCAGGTCTTTGGGAAAATCAAGTAGCTCTGGAAGTTTCTCGGTTAGTACCTGAGAGTACAAGTATGAACATTTTGTGAGAAGATATTGTTAAGAATATAGTATACTAGTTAAGAACAAAGAGAATTTAACATTAAACCAAAAACAAAAAGAGTTGTAAACATTCGAAAAAATCTCCTACCTTACAGAGATAGTGCATCAGAGTCATCTTACTGTTGCGGGATCTAGTGTCAGTGAGTTTTAGAAGACTATCCAGGCGAAATCCGATAGCTGAGCCTGTCAAAAGAGAAGAAACACATAAATCTGACATTGTGGAGGGTGAATTTAACTCTAATATAGAACCAATGCCTCTCTCTAAAATAAACACTATTTGGTAGTCTAACGGCAAGATATGCTCACCCCTTGCAGTCCCGTGGTTCAATGCATTGCCCAAGGAAAGTATAGTTTGCATAATTCTTTTTAGTTTAGCCGACCCTCTAACCTGGAAAGTGTTTCATCCAATAGAGTCAGAGTGGAAAATCACCAACAAGAATATATGTGGTTCACAAACTATTTGCATAAAATATCGACTTGCCTCGTTGGCTGCACTATGTATGGTATTCAAACCTCTTCTAAGATCAGTAACCTGAAGGATAACAACCATTTATTGATCCAGGTTTTAGAAACTAATAAGTATTACAAAAATACAAACTCCAATCGAGTCTCCTACCTGGGATTGGAACTGAATCTTGAATGAGAAAACCCTTAGCTTAGTCTCCACTCGAGGAACTTTCAGCAGTTCTAAAAAGAACTATCACCAGAAAAGTCAGAAAATAGCTATCAGTACAAAATGGAGAGATGGAAGTGAAATTTTTATGAAGGTATCACTACCAACTTAAATAGGTAATGCTATTTGGTTCTTGACCCAAAACAAATACCAGGAAATCAGTAAGTTAAGAAGAGTTCTGACTATTTATGTGCACAACTCTAAGATTGATCATTGTATATTGTTTTGGTGGGTTTGTTGAATGTTGATAATTTATTCGCTTAGAAGGAATGGTGGTTGGTCAGCCAAGAAATACGAGAATGGTCCTAGAAACTCGAAAAGGTGCACTCTGAAGATTGTTTAAATATGAAAGTGGAGCACACGACTAACCTGCTCACACCGTCCCAAAGTTTCCCTATTTCCAGTGTAGCCCTACGGAAAGTAAGAAAACCATGGCAAGAGATGTAGTATCAGTGTACTCACAAAAGAAGACTTCTAAAATTTTCAGAAGCAGAACATTATTGGATAAGAACCAGAAATAAAAATACCTTAAGCAATTCTGCTTCTTCTTTTGATGGGCAAAACTTAATTAGATTGTCAACTTGATCAACATCTATCACTGACTCATCCAATGCAAGAACAGAACTCTGTAACCCAAGATTTATTCAGATAAGAAATTACGGTATGAACAGCTCTAGCATAACAAGATGAGGCCAAATTATATTTTGCATTTCATGAGCAGTGGAATTTAAGATAAAGACAAAAACTTGCCAAAAAATATCTTGCAAGAAAAAACATTTGTGCTTACCATCAAATCAGGCAAAGGTATTTTAACTTTGGAAAGCATAATCTCACAGTTGTATGCTCGTCTGAGCTCAATCTGCAAAACTAATAGACAAAGTTAGAGGACGAAAATAGAGAAACTGCCAATGGATCTTAATTTCATGTCATTAATCTTCGGAAATTAAAAGATTTACGAAGTTCGAGAACAGTAGAATACTCATTGCAATCAATTACCAGCTGCACTTTCTCAACTTTAGGTCGGGCACGTCGACCTGATTTCCCACCTGTACCTTCATTGTCAGAGCTAAGATTCACTGCTGAGAAGAGTTTCTCAAGCTCAGAGATATCAAACTCTGGAGCACTGAAAAATAAAAACAAAATTCAATTAGAAGATGTCGGAGTTAGCATAATAAAGAAAATCACAAACTTATATAGAAGATGAAACGAAGATATAATCATACGTTGCAGCTTCATCAGGTTTCTGCGCGTCAGCCCATAAACTTCCCTGTACTGCTCTAGTAAGCTTTAACCAATGATATGGTTTCAAGTTGGCCTTCCTCGTTTGACCCTGACCTCTAAGATTCTGTAAAATCCCACGCCCCTTTAAACCCAATGGTGGTCCAGGGACAGGAGGAATGTTTCCATTACAACCCCCATTATGAGAACGAGACAAAGGTGCAGGGGCTGGTGGAGGAGGAACAGGAGGAGATTTCACCACCAAAGAATTTGTTGGGACTCCTGGTCGAGAATTAGAATGCAAAGGTGGCGGCGGTGGTGGTGGAGGATTAGTTGTAGCTAACACTTTCTTTGGAGGTAAAGGTGGTGGTAAAGGAAAAGATGAACGTGCAGAACGCTGAGCTTGTGGTTGAGGTGGAGGCGGAGGTGGAGGTGGAGGAGGCCCTTGATTTGCTATGGAACTGCTGATGGAACTTGGTGAAGGAATGGAGCTAGAGGATATGGGAGGTGGTGGTGGGGGTGGAGGCGGACGAGACAAAATACCAAGTGGCTTCAGCAATGGCAATGATGGTGACATCACTGCTGCTTCTGCTGAAGGAGGGCCATTTGAACGAACAGGTGTGGGCGACTCTGAAACTTTTGGAGAAGCTTCTTCTTTGGTTAGTGATGGTGTCTGCTGATGCAATGATGGTCGAAACGAAATTGAAGGTGAGGCTGGTGATGATGAAGTAGTCTTTTCACCTTTACAAGTACCATGATCGTGTAGTATTGAAGTGATCCCAAGCGAAGAAGGGGAGCTGTGGAATCTGGATACTGAAGCGGGTGATCCTTGTGTAGGACTATGGTTTGGAAGTGGTGATACTGGACTTTGGACCAGTCGAGGTGAAATTATCTTCGAGTGAACATTTCTTTGGACTGAAACACGAAGTCCATGCGATTCATCAACCTTCTTAAGGATAGAATTCGGATCTGCATATGATTTATGACCGGACACTGTATCTTTCTCTTTCCATTCAGGAGAGAATGCATCAGGACTTACAGCAATATTTTCTGTAATCATCAACTTGGTTTTCTCCTTAACTTTCTCAAGTGCCGATTCCAATAGGCTACGTGAATCAGGACTTCGAGGAGAACCTGAATCCAAGCTTTCTTGAAGGATATTTGCTGCTGTTATTTGGTTGAAAACTGTCACAGCAACATCAGAATTTGGATCCAACCATTCAGCTTCACTAAAAATCTCTTGAACCTTAGCAAATGCTTCCATAGGTAGAACATCTTTTTCATCCATATGCGGCATATCAACAGAGACAAGATTATTACCAGCATCCATCTCTGAAAATATAACCTGCGCAAGCATACAGAATGTTACTCCTTTCTTGACTTGGAAAGATAAGTAGCTATGTATAACATAAAAATGCTTCTAACAGATATGCCAGGCTCAAAACTGAACTAAAAAAACTGAACTAGTTAAAATTGATTTAACAGCTTTGAAAATTGTTGAAACCTTTAATGAAACAACATGTTTAGCCTGAATAAATGAATGAAAATTAGAAAATTGTTACCACCTTTAATGAAACAACATGTTTAGCCTGAATAAATGAATGAAAATTCTTGACTCAGAAAGATGTATTACACAAAGTACTTCTATCAAAAGACTAGTCTCATACTGAGCTCTCAACAACTTGCCATTTCAAGGTTGAAGACTGTTTTAATTCGGAAACCAAAAAAATCATATAGTTAATAAAGTAAGATAAATAGTCACCTCAGCTCTGAAATCCTTGGGAAACCGATCCGTTGTGTTCCACAGTACATCAATATCATCACGGTTAAGTATAAGAATGTTTGATCTAAGAAATGATGTATTGAACACAACGCGAAACATCATCTCTTCCCTCTCATGATCACTATCTAGAGTAATGCACTCAAGCACGACATCACCAAGAATATGGCAATGGATGTCAATCTTTACCAGCTCACAATCTGCCTGAAACAGAAGACAGAAAGTTAGTACACAACAAAATGATACTAGGCAGAAACTGAATGAATGAACAAATGGATTAAAAAGCTCTCAGTATCACCTGCTTATATTGCCGAACAGCTTTGCTTCTCTTGGGCATTGAAAACAGAACTTTTGAACTCCGATCAGATGCCAAAAAAGGATCTTGACCATATATTCTGAATATGGGTCGGCAACCACCTTCACCATCAAAATCAGGAATCAATCTAAGATTGACACAGTCTAATGTAAGTGCCCGATCTAGCGGTGGCCACTGTGACCCAACATCCCTACTCGAAATATACTGAAGAAACCTCAATTGTGAAGGCAGCGGATTAAGTGGAGACATTAGCTGTAATAACTCACGAGGAGCGTGCTTATATATCATCTCTAGTGTTCTCTGTTCTCCACTAAACTGTTTGCGATATAACAAGAGTGAAGCTAGCATAAAAGCTAAAGTCGGCCAGCCACCAAGCTCACAGTGCGACAATAAGATATTCTGTTGACTTAACAACAACCAACTTTCAGCTGATTTAAGAAAGTGATGGACCGTTTCCATTGTAAGCAAAGGGCAACCTTCATAATAGCGAGGATAGTCCATGATGGTCATGTCATACTCAGTAAGTACACTCTCCATCCGGCTTCTGCTATCTCCATCCCGGAAATTAAACATAATGAATGATGCACCGGGAAACTGTTCTCGTAGCTGACTCATTATGCGGCCCACATAGACTCTATAATCTTCATTTTCCAACATATCCGTGTTTAAGCAGCAATCAAAAACTGTAAATTTAGACATCAAAGATCAGCGAACTTATACAACAATCTTTTTCTTCCCGTCACCAACTTATAGAAAGCAGTCTTCTGAATGTTTGTCACTTAACAAAGCATTACAACCATAAATACTCAATATTTTCAGAGCTACTCAATGTCATGGTGAAGGCAAGCAAAAGATTTGAGAAACCATGCAACCCAGTGAACATACAAAAGAATCCTGGAAATTCTTTGAGAAGGAGACAACATAAGCTATCAAATGCTATATCAGTACAACCAATTAGCTTGAGCCTGAGCTTATGGATAATTAACTTAACAATACTCATGAGCTAGAGCTAAACCTAAACCATCAAGAATCAAATGTCTCCAGCTAACAAATGTTAGACTGAGTGGATCAACAAGCCTGGCAAGAACTAGAAACGAAAACAGAACACTACACTACAAAATTATGCAGGCATCATAACTTGGAAAAAATCTGATCTTTTAAGACCTAAAAACTCAAACTTTCAAAAAAACTAATTAGCCTATGCCTGAGCTCATGGATAATTAACTTAACAGTACTTATGAGCTAAACCTAGACCATCAAGAATCAAACATCTCAAGCCATCCAATGTTAGATACAGTTCAATCAATAAGCCTGGCAAGAATTAGAAACGAAAACAGGACACTAAACTATCAACTTAGGCAGTTATAACCGAAAAAAATCTAATCTTTAAAGACCTAAAGACTCAAACTTTCTAAACGCTTAGTACTCCAAAGGCCAAAGAAGAGCAAGAAGAAAGCAAACACAAAACCCTATCAACTTAGGCAGTTATAACCTAAAAAAAATCTGATCTTTAAATACCTAAAGACTCAAACTTTCTAAAAACTTAATACTCCAAAGGCCAAAGAAGAGCAAGAACAAGAAAGCACACACAAAACCCAACAGTTAAAAAGAACATACCGTAAACCCTCTCAGAGATCTCAACCAAACCTTCAGGAGGCTTTCTATGAAAGAACTTTCTAAACAACGCCATTGAGGTCTCTTTCTTTAAATGCTTTCAGAGACCACAAAAAATCCCTAGAAATAATTAATCACCACACTACCAAACCAAATGCGACCCACACATTTGCAGGATTATGGAGAGAAAAGGTTGAAAAAACAATAAACCCAAATGACCAGAAAACAAAAAACGAGGAAAATGTCAGGAAGAAAAGAAGGAAGCGTGAGATAATCTCATTGCTGGGTCTTTAAGGAACAATGCGGTGTGGGTTTTGTGTTGTGTTTTTTCTTTGTAGTTTGGTGGTTTGTCTTGACATACACACTTTCAATTTCTTCTGTTTTGGAATTGGAAACTTAGCTTTCAATCAAAACAGAGATGCTTTTGATAGCTCTGCACATGCGAAAGAAAGATGATATGATGTAGAAAGAGAGAGAGAGTTAGGTTATCATGTCAAAAGAGAAACTAGGGTTTGTTTGACCAAAGAAGAAGAAGAAGATGAAAGCTATGGCGGATTTGAGACAGAGATTGAGGATTTGTCGGATTTCAGATAGAAGGGAGAGAAAAAGAAAAAAAAAAGAGGAGGACCCAAAAGATCTATTACTTTGTTTAGGACGATGACACTAAACTATGAGATACATGTCTTCCAATATTTCATGTCTTTTTTTATGAGTTTGTATAAGATTTGCTTTTTTTTTTAATTTGCTTTCCTACTAAACATGGAGATACAATTAATTAATTCAGCTTTTTGCAAATGAACTCATTTAAATATCACGCATAAAAATCTTTGAATAAAAAGATACCATAGTTTGTTTACTAGTGCCAATTAATATTATACAAAAAAAAAGTGCCAATTTGTATATAAATTTTTCTATTATGGTTTTGACCAAATCTTTTGTAAAATAAATACGAGACTCATATGAAGTCCGACCCACATAACAAGCTATTGAAAATTTGAAACCTCAACTCTTAAGCCTTAAGATGATCCTTCGTCGTGATCGCAAAACTGTGATTCTTGAGCACGCTAGATTTAATGTTTCCGTTATCTTGCTTCCGGCGATCAACATGATCCGATTTTTCAATATTTCAGCAACAGTTTTCGTTTTCTTTTGCTTTAGATCTCTTTTGTGTAAAGTTAGGCTCAACCCATTTGGGTTGTTTCGATACTTTAATAAATTTGTAGAGTAAAACATCTTTAAGATAAAATTGATAGGCTTTTATATAAAACTAGAGGTTGATCCGCGCTGCGCGCGGTAGGTTTATAATTTTTTTGTTAATTTTTTATTTATATTGTGATATTTTTTTTTTTTTTTTTTCAAAACATATTATAGTTCTTTTCTCTTGAATTATTATCTTTCAATATTTAAATTTGGATTAAAAGCATTTTCTTTTTGATCATGTTATAAACTAATATTTCACTTTTAATTTTATTTTTCCCCTTTAAAATTATATATATATAATTACATAAATGTTGTTTTTATTCTATCATAAATTTTAAATTTATTTACATTCTTAAACTCAGTAACACATTTAAAATTTTAAACTATGATCAATTTAAAATGAAAGTTGAATTATATTATTACCACTAACTAATAAAAATGAAAGTATTTCTTATTTAACATTTCATTTATTTACATAATTTATTTTTATTTATATAAATTTTCTATTAATTAAATAAGTAGCATAAATATGCACTAAATGAATGTTTTAAATTTATTTTAATGTAAAAAAATGTGGTTTAGGTGGATGCTTAGGTGGCATCATGAGAAGAGAGAAAAAGCTAACTTTATATATATAGATTAGAAAACCTAAACATAAGCGTAAAATAAATAAATAAATCGTCGTTTTAGTTTTCGATATAAGACCTCTTCTATATGTATGTGATTATGTAAGTTAATTTAAACTTTTTACATATAGAAATCATAATTTTGGAGATTAATTGTTAGTTTTGCTTTTGAATTTACCATTTTTTTTTTTAATCTTTGATAAATTAGTAAAACAGAGAGCTACGATTCGATGCTTTGTGTAGAGCACCCAAAAAAAGCCTACCTACAAATTCAATTAGCACTTCGTCCATTTCCTTGTAAAAAAAGTCTGAAAATTCATATTTCTTTGGGCCAAAACTCTATTGGGCCGAGAGTGCCCCGAAATTATAGAAGTATAATGTGTTGTTGGATACGTATCCTCCAACAGAGCCCAATACTCACCCAATACATCACCAAACAATAATCTCAAGTACCAAACTCTTTTATATACACACACACACTGAATATACTAGATTTTAATTTTTACTATTGAAAATTAATTACTAACTACATATATTTTTATTTTATTTTGTACAAAAATTAACAACGAGAAACACTCATAAAAACTTGACTGTGACTGACACATACACACAACACATGTCAGTAGTATCCATAATTATACATGTTTCAAAAAACTTTCTTTAACGGTTACATCACTTAACACCTCTTTTTTCCCCAACGGCTACAGTAACAACATTTTATTTTACCATTTCAAAAAAAAATCATTCCTTTCACAAAAGTAAATAACCTAACGGCTAGTTTTCCAACTTTCACCACTATAAAAACCTCACAGGAACCTCCTCAAACCTCAACAATCTCCAAAACCAAAACCAAAACACTAAATCCAAATCCAAAACAAGTCTCTCTGTTTCCATCTTCAATCTATGGCTTCTTCTTCTTCGCTTCTTGTGGCTATCTTCTCCTTCATCTTCTTATGTTCCCTCGTTGCTGCAAATGAAGTCTCCGTCGGTGGGAAATCCGGTGACTGGAAGATCCCTCCTTCATCTTCTTACTCATTCATCGAATGGGCTCAAAAAGCTCGTTTCAAAGTCGGAGACTTTATTGGTATAATTACTTAAATGCTCTGTTTTTATACTAGATGCTCTGTTTTTAACCAAGATGCTCTGTTTTTTAACGTAACCACTTGTTTTTTTTCTTCAGTTTTCCGGTACGAATCTGGTAAAGACTCTGTTTTGGAAGTAACTAAAGAAGCGTATGACAGCTGCAACACCACGAACCCTTTGGCTAATTACACTGACGGAGAAACCAAGGTGAAATTGGACAGATCTGGTCCTTTCTACTTCATTAGTGGAGCTAATGGTCACTGTGAGAAAGGTCAAAAGCTGAGCCTTGTTGTGATCAGTCCTCGTCACAGTGTTGTCTCTCCTGCTCCTTCTCCTGTTGAGTTTGAAGATGGTCCAACTTTGGCTCCAGCTCCTACCAGTAGCTCAGCTAGACTTGGTGGTGGTTATGTTGTGTTGGGTCTTGTTCTTGGTCTTTGGGCTTGGTTCTAATTTGGAACCATGTGGTTTGGGGTTTGCTTTTTATAAGATGAGCTTTTGGTTTCAAAAAGCTTTTTCTTTTCTTTTAGTTTCTTTGTTATCATTACATGTTGTGTTAGCTTTAGCTAAGTGATCTTTGTCATTGGCTCATCGTTACTATTTTATTTATAAATTCAATTCATTATTATTCGTCAAGATTGTCAGAACATTATATTATAAAAAAAAAAAAAGATTACCAGAAAATTATCTTTATAAAAATCTATTAAATATATTTGATAAATGAAACTATATAAATTCCATAAGAGATTAAAAATTTATTAATCAATATTAAAATCAATATTCAAAAGTGTGTAAAATTTTGTATAGCATTTTCTAATTTTTTGTGAATTGACAAATCATGTTTGTGAAGAAAACACTACATTGTAAATCTCAATTTGTTTTTGTCTGTGGTACATCAGAAGAAGTAAGTTCATGTGAATTGAAACTACGACTGCACCAATCACAAGAAAGCTATACAAAGTCGTTTTTTGATTACATGAACCGATGAACCAAAGGTCTGTGTGACATACCAGAAGCTGGAAAATGTGAGTTAAGAACTGAAATCCCAAGAAACGCCCAGCTTCTTGAATCTAAGCCAACTCAAAAAGATTTACAAATCTTGAACCCAAAGTCAGTGATAAAAGAGGCTTTTCACAAATATTCCTCTTGGCTCTTTAAAAACATCTAGCTTGACGAGCTCGGCTCATCCTGGCTTAGTTCTGGTTTGGGTTCTTCTGGTTCAGTCTCGGATGGGTTTGGCTTCTTGAACTGAATCAAGGTGATGGTCATATTATCACAACCTTCACCACTCGCAGTGTCTGGTGCCAAACATCTATCCACGACTTTTTCGCATACCGTGGAAAGTTTCGTTTCCTGAAAGGTTTAACCAATGTCACAGACCAAGACAGTAATAGAGAGAGTAGGAGAAGGAAAGGGCATAACTTACAGTTTTCAACTGTTCATGAATAAAGTCCACTAGGTCCTGGCTTGACATACAATCCCTGAGGAAGATGAGATGAATTTATATTATCATCAAGCAACTAACTTACATATGTAGAAAATGAAACAATTAGTGACATTTTTTTTTACCATATTCCATCGCATGCAACAACAAGAAAATCATCATCATCACATAGGTCAATCTGATGAGAGAATACTTATGTCAGCTTAAAACAACAAAATCGAGCGGAAAGTATCAAAATGTTAGATACTTACAGTTTTGACATCTGGATCAGCAGTCACCATTTGCTTATCAGATGAAAGATACTTATTCTGCTTGAATTCCATGTCACCTGTAAAGAAGAAGAAACGATTCTTCGATTAAGATTACATGTTAAAGCAGAAATCTCTAGGTCATGAAAATGGTAGAGGAAGAAAAAGGCTTACCAATGGCTCTTGTCAGATTCAAGCTTCCATTGATTCGACCAGCGTGAATGAAGCCACCAGCTTTTAATATCCTTTCTTTTTCAATTTCAAGATCAGGCTTGTGATCTTTAGAAAGATTGTAAGCCTGAGCCTTCCTTGATATCACACAACGTGAGTCACCAGCATTTGCAACAAACAGCTTCTTATCTTTAATAAGAGCTACACATGCTGTGCACCCGGAATTTGGTCCGGTGAAATCAGAATGAGGACCCTGGATAAGAACAAAGGCATGGGTGCTCAGAGGTCCCAACTCAAATCATGTACAGAATATGGGAGAAGCCAAGTAAAGCAGGTTTATAAAAATATTTACATCCTCAAGAGGCCAACTATCGGGTTGGTTATTGGTGTCACCGCTTCTTGGTGACCAAATAAATCCTTCTATCATACCGCTAAATTTATTCATCTTGTCACCGAGTACAGCTAACTCTCGCCAACCTCTTTGTCCTTGCATCATGTCATCCATTCTACAATATTCACATTCACAATGAACAAATTTTAGTTGAACCCTCTTTTGCTGTCAAAGTAAATTAATATATAAAGACTGTCAAAGAGAAAATAAAACCTAAAGAATGCTCTTCGAAGAGATGTCTCTACGTCTCCAGATTTATATGCTTCATTACTGATAACCTGCTGGTGTAGATACTTGGCACAGAACTTTGCAACGACTTTACCTACAACATTTCATAGATATTACTTTGAATATGAAACATCGAAAAATGTACCAGAAGTCTATATTATACAGATATAAGCAGCAGTTCTAACTCTTGTCCTTAGTCAAAAATCACAAGAATCCTTTGCCTAAGTACTTTGAAAACCTTATGTACTTCTCTTATCTTTAAGATCACCAGCTTCCAAGTTCTAGCTGATTTGTAACACCAATTTAAAAAGAAAACTTAAATTAAATTCACCTAAACTAGATTATGATTTAGAAGTATAGACAGTATTTTCTTACCTCCATGCCCATCATACACACCGAAGAACGATGTCTTATCATCCAGATCAAGAATAGCAGCATGCTAATCAAATGAAACCAGTTACAATCAAGAGAGTCAGGTACACAAATTCCAAGATTTCAACTTTATGATGTTTCACAAGATCAACAAGGAGAAAGCACTTATGTTTTGACTCACCGCATCTTCCATGGTGGCACGCCAACCTTGCATAGACGTTAAACCATATCTGAGCTTATCATTCTCACCATCTTCTGATAACTTATCAGTCTTCGGAGAACTTAAGTATGTACCCATCTCTCTCTGCCAAAACAACAACATCACTCTCGTCTCTACAACCCGAAACTCAGAAAAGAAAAGAAAAAAAGCTAACTTGAACAATTAAGAATCTTTACACAATCTTCTAACTCATTGACTTGTACATGATTCAGAGTTGACCTAATCAACTCAGAGACCTACTCAGCAATCATAATTCAAGAAAGAACCTAGCTTTAACCAATAAGAATCTTACACAATCCAATCTCTTCCTCAATCAACTCAAAAACACACTACTCAGCAATCAAAATCAAGAAAAGGAGCTATCTTTGAACCAATCAGAATCTTACACAACCCATTACCTAAAACCACAAAAGAACTAATCAACTCAGAACTACTCAACACATCAATACACAAAAAGGGTTTGAGAATCCTTAGACCCAGATGCGAATATTTGACTATTTGGATCCAACCCAAGAAGCTAAAGCAACTTACATCTCCGAGTAGAAACGAACAATAAAGGAAGAGCCTTTTGAGATCTTCAAAACCAAGTTCTTGAGTTTAGGAGAAGAAAACTCGATCGGGGACGAGAACCAATTACTTGAGATCAGATGTACAATTCAATCCATAAGGACAAAACAAAAAAAAGATAAGCGAAATAGGAAAAAAAATTAAAGTTTGTTCTTTTTTTTTTCTTGAGTCCGAGAAAACAATTAAAAAGGTCTCAACTTTTTCACACCTTTAACTAACTTAAAACTAAAAAAAAAACATGAGAGATGTGTTATAAAATCTTTACAGCTGTTTAAAGCTTTCTTTGCTTCATCATCACAGCTTCAAGAATGTGAGTATTATCATCTTATTAAACAGCAAAATTACAGAATATTTTTTTAACTAATTAAGGATTTGCTCCATGTAAATATTAGTTTTTTCATCTTAATAACTTTTCATATGAACCTGTTTTGTCGTTGGCAATGAAAGCTATTTAAATCCAACGTATTTTTATAATGGAATATTTGTAATATTTTATGTGAATGAAATTTTATCTTAAGGATAAAGATTATCGAAGATGTATTATGCGTTTTCCGTATATTCTAATGATTAGGTTAATTTCTACCCAAACATATATAATTTGGCAAAATAATAGAATTCCATTGAAATTTATTTCAAAATATTTATTTAATTATACCTATTTATATTTATATTTATATTTATTTATTACTTACAAGGAATAGAAATTTAGATATTATAAAATAAGGAATTATTCAAAATATTTAGTAAATGGAAAAAATCGTATATTAAGTTAGGAAATTTTCAAAAGCACAACTTTTATGATACTACTTTCAAAAATATACTACTATTTTTTCCCATGTTCAAAATCGTCACAAATAAGGATTATATATATATATATATAATATGCCATAAAAATAATTATTAGGTTTTGCAACGCATATATTACTATTATGGAAATAGTTTTGAGATTTAAAAAAAAAACTTAAAATATATAGCGTTAATTACATTTTACAAATGATATAACATATATAGTCTTAGGTTAACCATAGCATATCAATATTAATCGTTATCTTTAGTGTTATTAATTCTTCATATTCTTATATTACAATAGAAATATGACAAGAGAAAAAGCAGTCCAAACTTGTTCTCTTCTTAATCCACATCAATCATTTGTTAATATAAAATTATTTCTGTTCTTAATAATTTAAAATTTTAAACCCTTTCAATTTTTTTTCCTTTTACAGTGCAACCAAAATCCATATCTATCAAATACGCCTTAAACACCTAACATAGAATCATCTACTTGTCTTTTTGGTATCACTTTTCATTTTCACTTTTTGCATTTTGTTGTATAATCTCAATTCTAATCAATTCCAAATAAAATTCAATTTCTTGCATCTTTTCCTAAACCTGATCGCGGGTATAATAATGTATATCGATAATATAAATATAGAACACTTCAAATTTAGTATTGATATATCAATTAAAAAAAAAGTTCTCAAAGATGCTACCGATGATTAAGTTTAGTGTTATGTCATTTGGTTTGATTAAAGTATTCAACAATATTTTATGAATGTAATCAACCGAATATGTTTGCAACATATCAACAAAATTTTGTCATTTTTCTTTATAAATGACATCTTAATTACTCGAACAGTATCTTTATCCAAAAATGTGTTACTCGAACAGTAACAAACATAAAAATAAAATAAAAAATAACATTCGAGATTGATATTGTTTAATTAGTCACTACTTAAACTAAAAACCAAATTTGGCTGTCACATCTCATCTAATTGTTTTCGTGGTCCAACATTTCTAATATGAACATAATGGATAGGCATTGCCACGAGTTAGATTAGAACTATTCATTTGATTACGACGTAGTAGAAACCATTGTCAGATACTTAGGATAAGGGTTAGGGAAAGGAACAAAAATAATAACTGAGGATAAAAATTAAAACATAGTCCAAAATAAATTCAATTTATATTTTGGGATATGAACAAAAATATCTTTAGAACACCAAATATGTGCCTCAAATCGAGCCAAAGTGTTCGGGAATGATCGAGGACATATTTATGGATTTTGTACCACTCGAATTAAGATTCATTCTTTTGTTTTGGCTTAACAATTTCTTTTCTTTTTTGTGAATTCAAATTTTTGGTTCTAATTTTAAATAAAAATTAGTAGTTCACATTTCACAACATCCAAATAACAAATTTCATTGGTTTTTTTTCCAAAATGTTTTAAGTGAGATTGTTTAAACAAATTAACTATGATTATTTCAATAATTTTTAAACACAAAACAAAATCTAAACATTAAATTAAAAAATGTATAAAAAATTTCTTTCAAAATTTATAGGCAAAATTGAGACAATTTAACCATTCAAAATTTTGCAAAATCCAAAAACCACACCAAAAAACTCAAAAACCAGTAACTAAAAATCACTTAAAACTGCAAAACATTCATGACCTCTCTCCTTCTTTTTTTTTCAATTGAATTTTAATTAATAAATTTTGTTTCGCATCAAGTTTATAATACAAAATCCCAAAAAAGAAACATAAGCCGACGGACGACATAAATGCTCACAGAGTCACGGCTGGAGAAAAACAAGATTTCTCCGAAAAACTAAACTCTATATAAAGGAAACTAAAAACACCGAAAATACAAAGCAAAATCTTTCAAACCAAAAACAGAATATCTCTCCTAATTTACATTTTTTAGACAAATCAATTTAATTTTTTTTATAAATTATATTTTAAAACCTTGTTCCACGTTAGAATACATTATAAATCTTTCTTTAAAAGTTTACAGAAAAGCTTCACCCATAAACAAAACTTTCAAAAAAAAAAATTGTAGAATCTCATTGGAAACAAAATTTATGGTTTAAAACACAAGTATCAAGAAATTTATATTACTTTTCATTTTTTTTGGCACAAAATTATTATTTTAATTTATTTTATTATTATTTTAATATTTTTGATAATGATATAAAATGCTCTCGAGTCTCTGAGCATATCTCTAGAGGAGTATAACAACAATAACACTCGTCGGAAGCAAAACCTCATCTGCGGTAACCAAAATGGTTTCCATGGCCACTTCTTCGTCTTCGTACACACCATTCTCTACAGTCTTCAACAGTTCCAGACCCAATTCATCTTCAACCTTTCTCATCCCTTCCATGAAATTCTCCACCGGAGTATCCAATTTCGCGAATCTGAGTAATGGGTTTTCTCTAAAATCCCCAATTAATCCTGGGTTTGTCTTCAAGTCTCGTCCTTTCACTGTTCAATCTAGAGCCGCTGCTGAGAAGACCGTTCATGACTTCACCGTTAAGGTTTTGGCTCCTTCTTACTCAATTAAGGGTTCTCTAAACTTTGTCTGCTCTTTATTAAATTGAGAATCTTTAAATTGTAATGAAGCTGAAGTATTGAATTTTGAAGTGTGTGGTAAAAATCTGAAATTTGTGACATAATTGGCTTTTTTTTGGGTGAGCAGGACATTGATGGGAAAGATGTTGCTTTGAACAAATTTAAAGGAAAAGTTATGTTAATAGTCAATGTTGCTTCAAGATGGTAAGCTTCTTCTTTTATCCCTTTGAATTCAGCTTTTTCGATGATTGTTCATGTAGAGGGTTTTGTTATCTTAAAGGTTGTGTTTTTATGAACACACAGTGGTCTGACATCATCAAATTACTCAGAGCTTTCACATCTCTACGAGAAGTACAAGAGTCAAGGTGATTACTAATAAGCTATCTCTCACATTGATCTGTTTTGTTTGTTATTGATTTGTGCGACTCGATGGTCTCTTTTTTTTAATGGGAAATGTTGTTCTTGGAGTTGATTTTGATGTTTGCATCAACCCTTTCTGATGATTCTTACATGTTCATTATCATTTTGAATCATTGATGGTTACCTTGTTTATATAAATCTCGTTTTATTGTGTCGATTTTCATATTGTATCATCCCGTTTTGATGATTCTCTACATGTCCAGTGCATTCTTGACCATGTTGGTGGTTAGTTGCTTACTGAAAATTCCTCGCTTTTTTTATTCAGTGGATCGTTCATAGATGTTTATATCATTCTTGGTGTCAATATGGTTCAGCCTTACTGTTGCTATTTCGAGGGATGTGTTACTAGTTATACGCATTTTATGGAGATGAATTGTTCTGGAATTTTTTTGAAGTGCAAGCAAATTCAATCTGTGTTGAATTGATGATTATCTTAACTCATCGGTTCTTAGTAGTTAACTCGAACTTTTACAGATTGCAGATCTTTTCTTTAATAAATTAGGCGGAAATAGCCAATTTTACGTCTTATTTTCTCAATCAATTTGTGGTAGTTAACACATAGCAAACGTTTTCTGTTCTTCTTCTTACAGGATTTGAGATTCTAGCTTTTCCCTGCAATCAGTTTGGAGGCCAAGAGCCTGGGTCAAACCCCGAGATCAAACAATTTGCTTGCACTCGGTTTAAAGCAGAGTTCCCTATATTTGATAAGGTACAAGTAATCTAAAGCATACACTCTTCTTTTCTTGTTGCAGATTACACTAACATTTGAACTCGACAGGTTGACGTGAATGGTCCAAGCACAGCGCCGATTTACGACTTCTTGAAATCAAACGCAGGAGGATTCTTAGGTGGTCTCATTAAATGGAACTTTGAGAAGTTCTTGATTGATAAAAAGGGAAAGGTCGTTGAGAGGTATCCTCCCACCACATCCCCTTTCCAAATCGAGGTACGGTTAAGGGACATATTACTTCCTATTCGGTATTCATAGCGGTGGTTTGTAAGTAACCAAACAATTTTGTTTCGGCTGTTTTGCAGAAGGACATCCAGAAGTTGCTTGCCGCTTAAGCACTTTTGCAAGTGAGATTATGAACAAAAGTGAGATTATGAGAGAGCATATAGAGGAGTAATATGCTATGTAATATTATAATCGAAAATAAACTCAAGCCTACATATATAACTCTGTTTAATTGTAAAATCTAAACCTAGACTAATATTTAATCATGTTTAGATTATATACTTTGCCATGAACGGTGACAAAATTTCTTTAGACTGCAATGTTCTTAATGGGCTTCTTCCGCCTGCCACAACCCTTTGTGAGAAAGACTGGTTTGGCTCTCTCTTTACAATATTGGAAATCTAAATATTCTCTTTCTTTTTTTTCTCACGTTTATGTCTC